GAGGTGCTACAGTGATCTGTCACAACACATCAAAGAGCCACAAAACTGTATTTATTATTAGAATTTCTTGAAAAAAAAATGTTTTCTTTGTTTCATACCAGAAGTAACCTGCTTTGTCTTGTCTGTCGGCGTATTGTCAGTGTCCTCTTTGCTCTGTGATGTATTTTTTACTGCGTGAGAGCGCCATGGCTTGCTGGACGTAGCAACAGTAACTAAGGAGGGTGGGTCTTTGCAAAGGGTCAATATTTTCCTGATAAATACTCAACTGATTTTAAAAATAATCAGGAAAGAACCCAGAACGTCACATTCACTCAAAGTCAGCATAAAATCGCTTTTACAACAACAAAATATAGAACATAGAAATATAGAACATGGAAATAAGTTTGGCAGGACTTGATTGGATGAATGTAAATGGAGTGGATTTTGATTTCATGTGGACTTGAACTGCGGGATGTTATAGATATGTGTGCGGTTGACATGTGGATGTGTGCTCTGTGCGCCCAACATTTCTCAAATTCACTTTTCAATGTTTCATGAGACCACATAAAACCATTAACAGGTTGAGAGGTGTACACATCCACTGTATCTGTTTCAGAAGAAGTGAAGAACATCCACACTGATCAATGGAAACCAGAGGACGAGGAAAACGAGCCTGTGTTTATGGTGATACGTGAGCATGCCGTAAAACATACTATAGATTCCCCATGTGATCATCACCAACAACACTTAAGTGAACCTGATCAATATGATCTTCATAGAGTGTGCAGTATATATGTTTCATATGTGTGTTCAGCTCCAAACTAAAGAAAGAACACATTTCTGAATGATTCAATGGATGAAGATGAATTCTTAGGATGCAGATACCATAACAACACGTATTATTAATACAATTATTTAGAATAGATAATGTGTATAAAATCATGATATTATGATAACGCTATGAATATGTCCTTCAACACATGGTCTGAAAAAAAAAATTGGTTGGTCTTGGTCACTTTTCATTTCTTATATATAAGTACGACTCCATTTACCATTTAAGTACCATTTTATGTATATACTGTAAAATAATAATAATAATAATAATAATAAAATATCTACATTAAAAATGTCTCTCTCTAGTAAAAAATAGCATAATAAAAATAAATTATTAAAATAAAAGAATGGTTTTATTACACTTTTATACAATTAAAATCAATTAATTACGTAAAATTACATAAAATTAAAAATAATACATTTTAAATAAAATGCAGCGAAACAGCCAACATATATATTGGCCACTTAGTTTCTTATATTTAAGAACCACTCAATTTACCACTCAAAGTTACATTAATGTAAATATAATAATAATAATAATAATAATAATAATAATAAATCTACAGTAAAGCATCTCTCTATAGTTATAATAAAAATAACAATATAAAATAAATTATTAAAATAAAAGAATGCTTTTATTACAATTACAATTACAAATAATAAAAATAAATATAATGATAAAAACAATACAATTATATTAAAATTAATTGAATAATTCAAATAAAAGAAAGATTATTATTACAAATTTATTAAAATGAATTTTAAACAAAATGTAGCTAAATAGCCAACATATA